AGGAAAACACCCACAAAGAGTTTAGAGCACGGTGGGATTAAATAATCAGCTGCCAATTTGCTAAGGAGTTATTAGGATACCCCAACAAAGACACATCCAAAAAATACCTGACTATGTTCAGGATAAGCCTTCGTCTGATGACGAGTATTCAGACAGGACACTGTTGGCTAAGGAAACACCTCTACAATATGAGGAAGTGTGAAACACCCCTCTGTAGATGTTGTAAGCAGGAAGACGAGACAGTTTCCCATGTACTCTGTGAGTGCACTGGTGTCTGGTCAACGAGAGAATCCGTGCTAGAAGAACGGTGGCCTTCTATGCCCTACATTAGAGAGATCCCCATGAGGAATGTCATCACTTTTTTTTCTGATAGGCTGGTTGACGGCTCAGGAGAGCCGATCTCTCGCTGGGTGAATGCACAAGGAACCCAATGGGGCCTAAGTGCTGTAGCTCGGTATACTGAGCTACCCTCCAAACTATTCCAGTTTCCAGCCAGGATTGCTATAAAAATGCTAATTTCTTACAGGTACCTTGGAAATGTCGGTCTTTCCATTTAAACTGGCTTATCAAGTTTTACATCTGAGATGAAATTTTAACTTCAAGTTGCATTGGGATAGTAGATTTTTTTCAGGTGTATGCATCTCCATTATGAAAAAGACGTGACTTATTAAATTTTAAATCTAAACCAACATTTAAAAATTCGTATAAATCTTAAGTTAGGCAGTTAAATAGAAATCTGGACCAAATTTTACTTACTTAAATGTTGTGAAGCAACAACAAAAAAAGCAGTAAATTAATTCTAATAATCTAAATATATAAAAATTCAGATCAATCATATACATCTTGTTTGACCTCTCTTGGTTATTTGTGTATACATTAGTATTTTTTATCTTATGACTACCGTTTGCAAAACAGTTTTACTGTTACTAAACGGTTCATTCTGCATTAGTAAATTTTAACGTAATTTTCTTAAAATGTATTGTGAAAATGAGCATTTTTATAACATTTGATAGTAAAAAAATTTGTCCTACTATGTAGTGTCAAAAATTAACTAGTATTAGAACATGCCTCAAAAATATTTATATTTTGTACTATTATGTTTGTTTTATTTTTCTTTCATTGTCTTTTCGAAAGCATTTCCTTAACTTTAGCTTAGATCACAATTATGTATCAACACAGCAATCGTGTACATGCATCGCTTCTATGTGTTCCACTCATTTACACACTTCCCATGGCACCAGATGGCAGCAGCTGCACTTTTTCTTGCAGCCAAAGTGGAGGAGCAACCAAGAAAGCTGGAATATGTAATAAAAGTCGCAAATATATGCCGCAACCCAAGAGATACAAATATAGATTTAAATTCAGAAAGGTATTTTTATCTTCATTTCTTTGTGCATGTTAATAAATTTATACAATAATCTAAATTAGAGCTATTGGCATTTACTAAGACTCCACATTTTTCAGGTATATAACCCAATCTCAGGATTTAGTGTTCAATGAGAATGTGCTGCTGCAAACCTTAGGATTTGATGTCGCCATTGATCATCCCCACACTCACGTTGTAAGGTGCTGTCATTTAGTAAGAGCTAGTAAGGATTTAGCTCAGACATCATATTTTATGGCAAGTAATAGGTAAGGTAATATGAATATTCGTTAGGACTTTTTATGCAAAATATACATTTTAGCTTACACTTAACGACAATGTGTATTCAATATNCATATACATCTTGTTTGACCTCTCTTGGTTATTTGTGTATACATTAGTATTTTTTATCTTATGACTACCGTTTGCAAAACAGTTTTACTGTTACTAAACGGTTCATTCTGCATTAGTAAATTTTAACGTAATTCTTAAAAATGTATCGTGAAAATGAGTATTTTTATAACATTTGATGGTAAAAAAAATGTGTCCTATGTATTGTCAAAAATTAAGTACTATTAGAACATGCCTCTAAAGAATTTAAATCATACTGAAACAGAGATCTAATATTTTCGGAAAA